TCGGGAATACACAAATGGTGTTGATGGTGATTATTATGATGATTATTTACAGATTAAAAATATATGAAGGAAAGCGTCGGGTGACACAGGCACAGTTCGGCGCATCGTCACCTCATGGTCCTTCCCGCCTCTACCCGCAGCTCAGACATCGTCTACTGGAAGCCCCCAAGAACCAAGGAGGATTTGAAGTCTCCTCAACACTGCAGCCTGCGGCATTATCCAAGAGTCTCCAAAGGGCTGTATTCCCCCTCGTGACCAGAGAACAACTTATAGAGTCTGGACCAGACAACCTAGTGATCAACAGCATGAGCATTGATCTACGCAATTAGGATACGATGACATGTGTCAACCAAGTCAGCGAGCCTGACCACCCGATCCCTTTAGTCGCCTAAATCTTCACGGTTGGGCAAAGTCTTGTACAGTGTCATAACATTTAAATGACATAATCTACATGTCTCTGTTACGTTTTGATGCAAAACCACACATTGACAGCCTTCATCCTAGCCCACTTCATGCAAGACCGCCGCCATATAGCTGGAATATTGCTGACCCACTCACTCACTCACACATGCAAGTCCACTTCATCCAAGCGAAGGGCTCTGTAGGGTTGCAGTCCTTTCAATAAACAGCACATACACTCGACGTCGTGGTCATTCAGTGAGCCTTCCCTTGACCATTTGACCCTCTCCCGACTTGACAGGGCATCTCACTTGGCTGACACTCATTTCTGTACCGTCCATCCAGCACAGCTCCATCAACAACAACAACAGCAACAACAACAGCAGCAACAACAGCAACAACGACATTCATATTGTAGAGAGATGAATTCAACCTACCAACACACAACTTTCCAACCCAACATCCCCAGCCTTTGAGGTCTGCTTGTTACAAATTGTGAATTCTACCATGGCTACGTGAAATGCTCGAATTTGATTGGTCAATCTATTAAATCAGACGGTATCAATTTTGGATTGACAATGCGTCTGATTTCACGGCGCTTCACTGCGCACGTATACAACACTGCCGCACTACTTCAGCTTGACCACCAACATTGTTAATATCAACACAACAGACGTGATGTAAATGCTTACAAAACATTTATTAAAACTCGAAAAATACAATTATATGATTTTTTCTCCGCAATTATTAGGGAAACTCACTATCATATAACCTTCTATTATAAAAATATTCAAACTCAATTACAATACACAGCCCAAAACATAAACAAACAATATCTAACTTATAAATCAGAAAGCCTTGTAAAAATACATCCCTATCTATGCAAAATTTGCAATAAAACGTTTGTAAACATTTGCCTACCTGGTAAATGGTATATTTGTTTCCGTTTAGAATGGGAAATATTCGCAAGATAACGGCTACGCGTTCGGCTTCAAATGAAATTTAGAGACTATCAATTCGGTGTAACATTCATCTAATTTCCAAACACAGTACGTTTATCTCCTAAGTACAATCTAGCATGCTCTTTTCACCACGATTTCAAAGAAAATAACACATAACTCTTGCTGGAAACAATCAAGACACAGGTAAAGCTTTCACAGTTAACATTTGGAGGGCATTTCCAAATTATTTAGCATCAGTAGCTCACAAAGGGCCAAATGCAATTCCGTATTTCTCTGGAAACATATGCTCTTCGCCTTTTTCGTGCGAACAGTTGGGTAGTATTGGCATGCAGGCTACACTCATAAAACCAGGTACCATCGCTATATATTAGTGGTTTATAAAGACTACCACGGTTCGCGCGCATCAGACACCGAGACCCAGTCTGTATAAAGTCCTGCTAATAATATAGTTCAAACCGTTCCCCGCCTCTGCTTAAACGGAGATTTCTTATAAATATCAGTGGGGGTGTCATCTTTATTTATACAACTAAAACAACAAGAAGCCTGTCCCCAGTATCATTACGAGAACCCTCCGAGCGACGGTCAGATCGATTCAGTTTCGGATACTTCTGTAAAACCTAGAAGTTATTAAAGCTCCATTAAGAAAACGATAAACTTTGTATTATCTACTTTGATGAAGGAAAGTCACATATGTCTAGTTAAAGTATTAGTGATTACCATACTACTCTCAAACTAGCTTGGTTATGGGGTAAAACTCGAATTATTTATTAGCAGCTGAAAATAGCTGAGTTGATATTATATGATAAATATAGAACACACGGCCATGCCACCGCTCTGTATTAATATACATGTATTATCTTTTAAGCACCATGTTTGTTTTATGGCAGCGGGTGATCGGTATAATGAAACTCTCAAAAACTGTTTAGTTGTATTGTTTTGTATTGTTTGTGTTTGTTGTGTAACGTCACACAATATCCCAGCTATATGGCGGCGGTTTGTAAATTATCGAGTCTGGACCAGACAACCCAGTGATCAACAGCATGAATGGTGCTTTCTGTCACAATGTACTGCAACGTGTTTCAGGGAAAGAGGATGGACTATTCAGCCTCAAACAACGAATCAGAGGTGGCATCGTCAACTTCAACCGTCTACATGACAAGTAAACTCACTGACGCTAGCTTTAAAACTCAGGTCACAGTTCCAAATTTGCACAGAAGTGAACACACTTCACAGTTCCACACCGACACAGACGTCAACACACACGTCACAGTTCCACACACTGACACAGATGTCAACACACATGTCAAAGGTCCACACTGACACAGATGTCAACACACACGACACAGCTCCATTCCAACCCAGACGGCAACACACGCGTCACTGTTGCACCGGTCCACACTGACACAGGCGGCAACACACGTCACAGTTCCACACTGACACGTCAACACACATGTCACAGTTCACGTCACAGAACAACACTGACACAGACGTCAACACACAAGTCACGGTTCCACACAGACACATGTGTCAGCACACACGTCACAGGTCCACGCTGACACTGATGTCAACACACATGTCGCAGCTCCACACTGACACAGACGTCAACACACATATAACAGCTCCACACACACATACGTCAACACAGACGTCACAGTTCCACACACCGACACAGACGTCAACACACACGTCACAGTTCCACACAGAGACAAAAGTAAACACACAGGTCACAGCTCCACACTGAAACAAACGTCAACACACACGTCACAGCTCCGCACTGACATAGACGCCAAAACAAACGTCACAGCTCCACACTGAGACAGGCGTGAACACACACGTCACAGCTCCACATACCGAAACAGACGTCAACACACACGCCACAGTTCCAAACAATGACACAGACGTTAATACACGTCACATTTCCACACCGGCACAGACGTCAACACACACGTCACAGTTCCACACAGAGACAGACGCCAAAACACACGTCACAGCTCCACACTGACACAGGCGTCAACACACACGTCACAGCTCCACACTAACACAGACGGCAACACACACGTCACAACTCCACACACCGAAACTGACGTCAACACAAACGTCACAGTTCAACACACTGACACAGACGTTAATACACGTCACAGATCCACACTGACACAGACGTCAACACACATGTCACAGCTCCACACTGACACCGACATCAACACACACGTCACAGCTCCACACTAAAACAGACGTCAACACACACGTCACAGCTCCGCACTGACAAAGACGCCAAAACAAACGTCACAGCTCCACACTGACACAGACGTCAACACACACGTCACAGCTCCACACACTCACACAGACGTCAACACACACGTCACAGCTCCACACTGACACAGACGTCAACACACACGTCACATCTCGACACACCGAAACAGACGTTAACACAAACGTCACAGTTCCACACACTGACACAGACGTTAATACACGCCACAGCTCCACACTGACACAGACGTCAACACACATGTCACAGCTCTACACACTCATACAGGCGTCAACACACACGTCACAGCTCCACACTGACACAGACGTCAACACACACGTCACAGCTCCACACCGACACAGACGGCAACACACACGTCACTGTTGCACACTGAGACAGGCGGCAACACACATCACAGTTCCACACTGACACAGGTGTCACCGTTCTACACTGACACAGACGGCAACACACGTCACAGTGTCACACTGACACAGGTGTCAACACACATCACAGTTCCACACTGACACAGGTGTCACCGTTCTACACTGACACAGACGGCAACACACGTCACAGTGTCACACTTACACAGATGTCAACACACACGTCAGTGTTCCATACCGACACAGCCTTCAACACACACGTCAGTGTTCAACACCCGAGACAGACGGCAACATATACGTGACACTTCCACACTGACACAGACGTCAGCACACACGCCACAGTTCCAAGCTGACATAGACTTCACAGTTCCACACTGACATCGACATCAACACATTCGTCACAGCTCCACACCGACACAGACGGCAACGTCACAGTTCCACACTCACACAGACGCCAACACACGTCACAGTTCCACACTGACACAAATGTCAACACACACGTCACAGCTCCATACTGACAAAGACGTCAAAACAAACGTCACAGCTCCACACTGACACAGACGTCAACACACACGTCACAGTTCTTCACCGACACAGACATGAACACACGTCACTGTTCCACACTGACACAGACGTCAACACACGTCACATTTCCACACTACGACACAGACGTCAACACACACGTCACTGTTTGACACACCGACACAGACGTCAACACACGTCACAGTTTTACACTTACACAGATGTCAACACACACGTCAGTGTTTTACACCGACACAGCCGTCAACACACACGTCACACTTCCACACTGACACAGACGTCAGCACACACGCCACAGTTCCAAACTGACACAGACGTCACATTTCCACACTTACATCGACGTCAACACACACGTCACAGTTCCACACACCGACACAGACGTCAATATAGTAGTAGCCATGGGGTGAATGTTGGTGGGTGGGTGTAGAACACACAACATAACGCTACTTGTGGTCACAGATGGCAACCATTTTATTCATCCAATAAAAAGGAATGTTTGATCATTCTGAAAATATACATAAATATAATTAACTATTTGAGCATAGAGGCATAACATGCCTTACATATACACGTATTACACGTTCTACATATTCTTAGAATACAGCTAGCCCTAACAATGCATTAGCATAAATAAATCTTTAAATAAAAATAATAAGATGAAAACTATTCCTTCATATGTATGTATATCATTTATGATATACATGAAGAATATATAGAGAGTTCATTACATACAAGATCATATGTAGTACACTAACCACAGAGTGTAAACAAGGTCTCATAGCAGTCACGGATCATCAATCATCACGGGTCATTCTAAGAAAAGTTAATATACAACCTTGATAATACTAACAATGGTATATAAAACAAGTTATGATAAAAACAATAACTATCACATCCACCCTCACTATTTCTTACTATATTCACACATCACGGTTTTTCACAGAAATTGATACTTCACAACCGTACACGGACACTGGCTGTTACACATACAAAAATATATATATATAAAATGTCAAACAAAACAAGAACGAATAATAGCATCAAAGAACTGTATTCGATGTGACACACGTCAGCCATCATAACTGCAATATACATCTAGTGATACAGTCAAAGTTGTTATTGAAACGCTAACCAAGAATTGGTGATAATGTCCTGCTTGTACATTGTCAGATCCAAAGGAATACACATAAGCATCTCATAGTACAGCATATCACATCATTCACGAGATCAGTCGCTGAAAACCAAAACCAATGGTATATGACAGTCTTCACTATGAAGTGTGTAATTAAGCTCCTGCTCACATTCAGTAGAGGGAAATGGAATGCATTTTTAGACTTGTTCTGTTTTTAGACACGGTACTACAATCGCATGGGCCTTTCCAGTGTAATCTGACCCAGAGGGTTTGAGAAAGGTTTTAGGAGCCTTGTAAGTATGTAAGGGGAGCTAACCTTTGTCACAAGCAGGTTACATTATAATTGCAAAATTTAACGTCAGCACCGTTTGAAACACAGACAAAGACTTGGGTCATTTTCGATGTGCGTATGTAACCATGCAATTTTAACCAGCTACCTCCCATAGAAAAGACATTTTGATGGTCGTATCATACTCAAGCACAATATCTACAACTGCAGGCTGTCTGTTTCGTTCCCTGTATGATCTACATATAACCAGCTTTCACATTGTAAAGAGAATATATATCGCAGAACTAAAAGGAATGTACACAGGTTTGTATGGGCTCCATTTGTTTGGCCATACTGCGCATGCCTATATCTATTTGTCTCTAAACACCCTTTACATGTAATAACTCTAGAGGACCAAGGAACTTAATTTATTCATGAGCGTTCTGAAAAACCCATGCAGACGCTGAAAGAAAGCTTTAGTTAAATTTACAAGCTTAATTTGAAACAGTTCAAGATTAGTGAACAGCACATTGATAGACTCTGTCACTGTCCCTTGACCAAGTTATTCTGTCTTCCGTCCTGACCTTTCCCCAATGCCAAAGCCGTATATGAAGCAAAGGTAACATTTCCACACGGTCGAGGTACTGCCGGCTCACTGGGGCTTGTTTTCAATATGGAGTAATTTGGTTCACACCAGAAATGAGCTTCACACATTGCACCCATGTTGGTAATCTAACCCAGTCTTCTGGGTGATGACCTAACACTTTAACCACAAGGCTACCCCACCGCCCAGTGCTACTATATAAATACCGCCCAAACCTGCTGTTCCTTCTTCCCCCTTTCCGTCTGGGTTCCATTGTCTACTTTACAATAATCCAGAATGGCCACAATTGCTCTCGACATTCCCGTGCTCTTCTCTAATTCTGTGCCGAATGGTGTACCGTCTCCAGAGAAGTCACGGATTGATATCTGATAGTTCTGTAGCATACTGCTCAGCTGTTCTCCCCTGTATGTCTCGAACAGTTTTGTCGACGCCCCGTCTGAGTAGCAGCTTCACTCGTTCACACCTGTTGTAGCTGCGGTCAGCAGCAGCCCGGAAAAAGGCCCTGTCCTGGTCATTTTCCTTATGTACAGTGACCCCAAGTTCTGAAAGAATCTCTAAAGTTTCATTTCGTGAAGCCTGTGCAGCGTAGTGTAAAGCTGTCCTTCCTTTGTGATCTTGTATTTTTGGGTCGACCTTCTTGAGAAGCATCTCCAGCATGTTCATCCTTCTATACTCACACAGTAGGATTCCATATTCTTGTTCGAATTCTCTTCGGTAAATAGTTGTCCTACGAGCACCTGTTTTAGTGAGAAGAGGTATAGTGTCACTAGGTCTGGGATGAAGAGGTTTTGGATGAAGAGGTATCACACGTAACCAATCCTCTACTTCTGTGTAAGCACCGTGTTGAACCGGCTTTATGTTTTTGACTGGCGATGGTTCTAAAGCATAGTGAAGGGCTGTCCTACCTTTCTTGTCAGGAATATTTGGGTCCACACTCTGCTCCAGTAGCATTTCTAAAATATCACAGCTGTTGTCTTTGGCCTTTGCTGCATAGTGGAGAGATGTCATGCCATGTATGTTCTGCACATCTGGATCAGCATTGTATTCTAGAAGAAGCTTGACGCTCTCTTTCATCGAATTTTCTGAAGCATAGTGAAGTGCTGTCCTCCCCTGCTTATCAAGGCAATTTGGGTATATGCCTTTCTCTAACAGTATCGGCAAAACATCAGACCGGTAACGACGCAAGTGTACAGCACAGTGGAGAGCTGACATGCCCTGAAGGTCCTGTACACCTGGATCAGCACAGCGATCAAGCAGAAGCTTCACTGAGTCTTCAGATCCACGTTCTGAGGCATAATGAAGTGCTGTCCTTCTCTTCTTGTCAAGAATATTTGGATCCACTCCTCTCTCGATCAGTGTCTGTAAGGCTCCGTAACTATTCATAGCAGCACAGTGGAGAGATGTCATGCCTTGCAGATCCTTTACAGAAGGATCAGCACCAAGATCTAGAAGAAGCTCGACCCTCTCTTTGTCTGAATTTTCTGATGCATAGTGAAGGGCTGTCCTTCCTTTCTTGTCAAGAATATTTGGGCCCACACTCTTCTTCAGCACTATCTCCAAAATATCACAGCTGTTGTCTTTGGCCTTTGCTGCATAGTGGAGAGATGTCATGTCATGTATGTCCTTCACACCTGGATCAGCATTGTATTCTAGAAGAAGCTTGACGCTCTCTTTGTCTGAATTTTCTGATGCATAGTGGAGTGCTGTCCTTCCTCTATTGTCAATAATATTTGGGCCCACACTCTTTCTCAGCAGTATTTCCAAAATATCACAGCTGTTGTCTTTGGCCTTTGCTGCATAGTGGAGAGATGTCATGTCATGTATGTCCTTCACACCTGGATCAGCATTGTATTCTAGAAGAAGCTTGACGCTCTCTTTGTCTGAATTTTCTGATGCATAGTGGAGTGCTGTCCTTCCTCTCTTGTCAATAATATTTGGGCCCACACTCTTTTTCAGCAGTATTTCCAAAATAACACAGCTGTTGTCGTTGGCCTTTGCTGCATAGTGGAGAGATGTCATGTCATGTATGTCCTTCACACCTGGATCAGCATTGTATTCTAGAAGAAGCTTGACGCTCTCTTTGTCTGAATTTTCTGATGCATAGTGGAGAGCTGTCCTTCCTCTATTGTCAATAATATTTGGGCCCACACTCTTTCTCAGTAGTATTTCCAAAATATCACAGCTGTTGTCTTTGGCCTTTGCTGCATAGTGGAGAGATGTCATGCCATGTATGTCCTTCACACCTAGATCAGCATTGTATTCTAGAAGAAGCTTGACGCTCTCTTTCATCGAATTTTCTGATGCATAGTGAAGAGCTGTCCTCCCCTGCTTATCAAGGCAATTTGGGTGTATGCCTTTCTCTAACAGTATCGGCAAAACATCAGACCGGTAACGACGCAAGTGTACAGCACAGTGGAGAGCTGACATGCCCTGAAGGTCCTGTACACCTGGATCAGCACAGCGATCAAACAGAAGCTTCACTGAGTCTTCAGATCCACGTTCTGAGGCATAATGAAGTGCTGTCCTTCTCTTGTTGTCAAGAATATTTGGATCCACTCCTCTCTCGATCAGTGTCTGTAAGGCTCCGTAACTATTCGTAGCAGCACAGTGGAGAGATGTCATGCCTTGCAGATCCTTTACAGAAGGATCAGCACCACGATCTAGAAGAAGCTCGACCCTCTCTTTGTCTGAATTTTCTGATGCATAGTGAAGGGCTGTCCTTCCTTTCTTGTCAAGAATATTTGGGCCCACACTCTTCTTCAGCACTATCTCCAAAATATCACAGCTGTTATCTTTGGCCTTTGCTGCATAGTGGAGAGATGTCATGCCATGTATGTCCTTCACACCTGGATCAGCATTGTATTCTAGAAGAAGCTTGACGATCTCTTTGTCCGAATGTTGTGAAGCATAGTGGAGTGCTGTCCTCCCTTGCTCATCAATGACATTTGGGTCAACACCTGATTTTAACAGCATCTGAAAAGCTTCTATATTACATCTCCATTTCGTAGAAGCACAGTGGAGGGCTGTCATGCCCTGTTGATCCCGTAAACATGGATCAGCACCATGGTCCAGTAGAAGCTTCAATACTGAGCTTTTTTTGGTAGAGGCACGATGGAGGGGCGTCATGCCCCATAGATCTTGAACATCTGAATCAGCACCATGATCAAGCAGAAGCATGACACTGGAGTTGTCCGAATGATCTGAAGCATAGTGAAGAGCTGTCCTACCTAGCTTATCCGGTATATTTGGGTCAACACCCTTCTCTAAAAATAACTTGAGGAATTCACAAGGACCCAGACAAGATAGCTCTGCATAATCATAGTTTTCTTCTAAGCTCTGTAAATGGAAGCCTCTCATCGTCACAACTAAATGAAGTGCTGTCATTCCCTGATTGTCTTGTATATTTGCATCAATTCCACTGTCTAGCAAGGCACTTACAGTCCTGTATCCTCCGTGTACAGCAGCCATATGAAAGGGCGTCCATCCCATTCCATCCCTTACATTTGGATCAATGCCTTTTTCCAGAAGAAGTTTCACAGTCTTAGGTTTACCACACCCTGCAGCATAGTGAAGAGGGTTTCTACCCATTATATCTTGAAGGTGTGGGTTCACACCTTGCTCGAGAAGCATTTCGGTCAGCGTGTAGTTTGCTCTTGCACAATACAACATGCATGGACTTTGAAGATAGCAATACTGAGAAAATGAATATAAAAAAAGATCTGGTGTATCACGAAAACGTTCCCACAGTTCAGATTTCCTCTGTTCGGTGGCATAGTGGAGACATGTTTTTCCGAAATCATCTCTTCTATTTGGATCGAATTCTCTGTCTGTATTTCCATGCTTGAGAATTAGCTCCGCTGCATCATAAATCATATCCTCAATGGCAAGACGAAGGGCTGTTGTACCACGGGAATCCATTGCATTTAGATCAACACCCCTCTTTACCAATAAATCAACCATTTTTATGATGTTGTTGTGTCTGAAAGGAGTTTTAAGTAAACACAGCAAAATGTTGTCTTTACTGGCATCTTTGTGATTCACACTCACCCCTCTGTTCAGTAGGAATTCCAATATTTCAACTCCATAAGTATCAACATGAGTGTCGATTGCTGAAAATATCGCTGTTCTGCCATCCTTGTCTTCTGCATCAGGAAGATGCTTTTGGACATCAATGAGAAATGTGAGTTTCTCTAAAGCATCAACACGAGAGCATGCTGCCATGTGAACAATTGGTCTCTTGTCAGCGTCTACTGCTTCAATCCTTGCTCCTGAGTTGCACAAGAACTTTAGTATTTCTATGTCAGCATACTCACAGGCTAGGTGAACAACACTTCTAGTTTGTGAACCGCATTGTGAAAGAATATTCACATCAGCTTCTTTGCTGCAAAGGAATTTTACAGTCTCCAAATCATTACATAGAACAGCCTTGTGAAGAATTGTTCTACCCTTTCCATCCATTTGATTTAAGATACTTTCTGCCACAACTAGAGCTTTTACTATTTCACGATTCACGATTTCAACGACTGACAAAGGTACGAGTCCTTCACGATTTTCCAGGTTGACAGGTGCCTTATGCTGCAGAAGTATTTTCACACATTCAAGGTGACTGTTCTGAGCAGCCAAATGTAATGGGGTATTGCCATCATTGTCTTTCAAATCTACCTGAAAACCTTTCACTAATAAGAAATCTGCACATTTATCATTTCCATGTTGTGCTGCCCTGTGTAGCAAGAAGGTGTTTGCGGCAACAACCCTAAAACGCTGGCTTATGTCTTGGGAGTATTTCAGCAATATATCCAAGGACTCAGTGCTACCATAAGCTGCTGCCTGTTCTTGAGGTGTTGCGTATTTGGTAGAGTACTTGTTATCATCGACGTAATTCCTCGTCTGCAAAATGTCTGTCTCAAGATTCAGTAAAAGATTCAGAACTGTGGCATCTGAGTGAGCTGAGGCTGACAAAAGGAGATGTTGACAATGAAGTTTACATCCAGTTGAAAGCAGTATCTGAATCATTTCTTTCAAACATTCCCTGCTGCTAAACACAGTGTATTTGGGCTGATGTGTTTGCATCTGATCACAGAGCCATGATAATATCACTGAGATTACATTGAGGTTGTCGTCCTTGTGTTTTAACATGTGCACTGTCAACTTGACAATATATGTGTGTCCCATGCGTACAGCATGCAGTAACAATATTGTCAGGATTTGACCAATTGCATATCCTTTTCCTAATTCTGGACTGTAACAGAGTTTTTTCCCTCTCAAGTTAGCAGTGACAAAACCGTTAAAGATTCTATCAATGACGTCATTCTTAAGACTCTGGCCAGAATTCACAAACAGAGCTTTAAAGCAGTTTTCGTTTGGCTCAGCACCATGGTCAAGACACCATTTGACAAAACTGTTACTTCCAACAAAAATTGCACAAGGCAAACATTCCTGTATTATGTCTTTGAATTTCTCAGGTGATGGAATCGAATTTAAAACAACTTGTACCAGATGATCATTACTATCCATTACAAATTTACTCAATAAATAATCACATTTCGAAATCCTAATCTCCTTATCTTTCGACTTCCACGAAACAAATCCTACAAAATGTTTGCACTGCATAATGCTTGTCAGTTGCCCATTTTTCGCCCATCTTTGCACCAAGAATGATATAAATTCCTTGTGCTTGAGTGAAGGATGTCTCCTTATCATCTTACTGCTCTCATGTTCAGCTGACAAAAGCAACTCTGTGATGCGGTCAGCAAATACATCATAATTTTCCTCAGGTATCAAGACAATACGTATGTCTCCATCCAGCCTTTTAGTTCTTACCACTTCTCCAAGGACAAAACTTGGGCATGTTCTGATGCAAGAGCTGGGAAACTGCTCTGAGATGCTTATAAAAACAGACTCATATACAGACTGATGCTGAAAAGCATATCCGTTCTGGCTTTGCTTCAAGTAACCACCACAGAGTGAATCTGCTTTTTTTTGGATGCCAAATAAGCTTGGACGTGTGGGTAGATTTGGACAATATTCTTTCATCATCTCAACCATTTCTTTAAAATCAGATGTACATTTTCTTGGATCAAGAGAGGTTGCATTAAGATGCCCATCACTCATCAATACCAGCAATAGAACCAGGTAACTCAAACCATCACTTTCCTTGAGGGCATCAACTTCCTGTTGGACGTACTCATTGGGTTTCTTGAAAAAGCTTAACCCTTTCCTTTGTGCTTCCCTGCTACTGGCAAAGAAAGTGCAAACCTGCGGGAATCCAAGGACTGTTTCTATTTTGACAATTTCTTCTACTTCTTTTTCAGAAAATTTGCCATGACAAATAACTTTCAACATTTTTTCTTTTTCCTTTTTCTGAAGAGCATACTGGCCGTCATCGATTAGAAAATGACGGATATTTTTCATGAGGCTGTGTTTGTTTAGTTGGCACTGACACTGTGCGGTGATTTCAGATCTGGATGTTAAGATCAGGAAGATGTGGCCAGATTCAATAGATGGCCACATTATATCAAACTTCCTTGTCCAATCGTCAAAATGTGATTGTGAAAAGTTTGTCGCGCCAAAAATGTCATCAATCATCACAATGTAACGTTCACTTTGACTTCTGGGCTTGTCAGTTTTGTCATTCTTCGGAATGAGTGACCATTCATCCGCTGAAGTCAGCAGAAGAGCAGTCCTCCCATCCGTCATAGACATTTCTTCTAGTAACCGCCGACCCAGCCGTGATTTCCCAGATCCTAACATCCCCTTTAGGAAGATACATCCACAATCTGTCAAAAGTGTTTGGGCAGACCTCTGAGCATAGGTAGACACGTATTCTGTTCTGTCATGCTTGAGTGAATACTCCGTGGCGTCTGAAAGATAATCATAATTGTAACATGCTATAACATGTAGCTGAGAAAACTATTTCAGAAATTTGTTATCCAACATATATGTGAGATGGAATCATAGTTTTGTGATTTTGTTATGACCTGAGATCAAATTAGAACAGATTCGTGTCCTGATTGGGTCCCTTAAACAGTCACTAGCTGCTGATCAAATTGATATACTAAAAGTATAGTATGACCAGAAATTATTGAGAATTTGAGGTATATGTTTAATTGGATTTCTAGTGTAAACAGCCTTGACCAGGTATCAAGTGCTTGGTTTCATTCAAGAGAGACAACTCCGTTAATCCTTTTCATTAGTTTGTGAAGAGTTACCCCCCTTTATTTACTTGCTAGCAGACGACATTTTCAGTGATCCTCAGTATGGATGATTTAGAGAAGAGGAAGTTGATTTTAGAATATTGTAACAAGGACGTCAGATCAGCTAAAGTGATTTCAAGTAGAAGAGGCATCCCCTTGTCCACTGTTTATCGTGTTTTGCAAAAATATTGCAAATGGATATGGCATTGAGCACCAGGGAGGCGCAGGTAGGCCCAGAAAATTGACTGTCGGTGACAGGAGGCGGCTTGGTATTCTTGTTTCCAAAAACAAACGAATGAGTTTAGAAAACTTAAGGCTGTATATGATTGATAGAGGAACTGTGGATGGCTGTAAGGAGACAATTAGAACTGAGCTGCATTCAATGGGTTGTCAGAAAAGTCGAGGAATTCCATCACCGCTCATGAAACCTGAACAAAAAGGAGCGAAGGTTGAACTGGTGCTTACAGCATAGAAATGTTAACTGGGACAATGTGATGTTCTCAGATGAAAGTTCTGTGTGGCTGTTTCCTAATACACTGAAATTCTGGACCAAACAAACTGAAAAATATTTGTATCAGCGCCCAAAGAACAGTCCGAAATTTAACGTGTGAGGTGGCATATCTGTGTTAGGGGCAACGCCCCTATGTGTATTTGAAGGGAATATGAACAGTGAGCGGTACACAGATATTCTCGAGGTACATTTACTTCCATCTGCTCACGTGTTCTATGGAAATTTTGGGATTTTCCAGCAGGACAAGGACCAAAACATCGTTCAAAGGATTCACAGGCCTGGTTTCGGACCCAACATATGACATTATTAGATTGGCCAAGCTATAGCCTTGACCTAAATCCAATAGAAAATGTTTGGGGACTTATGAAGGAAAGTGTCAATAAGAAAAATCTGACAAATATTGCTGAAATGAAAGAAGAGGCGGTCCGATATTGGGACAGCATGGATCACAACTTTTTCTAACTTCTTTGATCAGTAGTATGCCCCGCCGCATTGAAGCCTGCATTGCTGCCCATGGTGACTTGACAAAATACTAACTGTTCACCTGTCTTTGAATCTGGAGTTATATTCTGCTAATATTCACATTTAATACGTGAGTAATGAGTGAAACAAAATAAAAAAATTACAATCTTTAAATTCTCAATAATTTCTGGTTGTACTGTATGAGTTATACTTACCGCAGATATTTTTAAAACGATCATCTGCAATAAAAGCATATAATTTAGAATATGGGTGGTATGTAAATACTTCTCTCTTCCTACAGTTAATGTCTTTCTAAATATAAAAGGAATGAACATTTACATAGTACATTCTTGAAAAAGAAGAAACGCACAGGCATTTTCAGCAGTTCATTTCAATCTATTTTGAGAGCAATCGTCCTTAAGACAATTCCTATGTTTGAATCCTGTTAATCATGTCGTGGTTGTTGTGTATCGCGGGCAAACGCACCCCAAAATGTGTTTGTAAAGGTTTGTCGGAAAGATTTCCGCCCGTAACCCCGGTTTTTTATCATTCTATGCCTAAGATTTAGAGTAAGAATAGATGTTTTTATAGAAAACCTACCGTAACCCTAAACCTAACATTATGCTAAATGTAAACCCAAAATCCAAACCCCTATCCTCTTGAAATAATCATAATAAATAGAATATACATTGTATTTCAAGCGGGGATTACGGGCGGAACTCTTACCCACCGACAACGACGTGTCCAATAGAGCAACAGGCATGTAACCAGGGGAACAACGGGATGGGAGACAACGTGTCTATCGACGTCAACACGAACGTTTTGCGCCGACCTGCGTTCGACAGGTGGACAGATTTAGTGGAGAAAGCGTCACATGTGCAGTGAGTAAACTGATTTATGGCAATGGCAACAATACATGTGTTCATTCGTGTGTCAAATTTCCTTCATCTATGTTCAAGTCTAATCGACTCATATACACTTAAATACGTTAAATATACTGCTTTATTTTGGATCGATGCATTTCATTTTTGAAGAGTTTCTTTTTCCTGTTAGAATTTTTTATATATTTTAATATGTCATTTCACCCTGCCGTTTCTAAAAGAGTATGCAAAATATTCAGAATATTACTCCATAATCCTGCTGTTTTCCAACAAAATTAATGGTGTTTATGTCAAGAAAAGGTGTATACATCACCAGTGTGTTGTGGCGTCACTCCTGATGATCTGGGGTGCTGATGTATCATTCCCAATGATCCAGGGTACTGGTGCCCCACTCCCAATGATCCAGGGTACTGATGCGTCACTCCTAATGATCCAGGGTACTGATGCGTCACTTCTGATGATCCAGGGTACTGATGTGTCACTCCTAATGATCCATGGTGTTGATGCGTCACTCCTAATGATCCCGGGTGTTGATGCGTCACTCCTGATGATGCGGGCTGTTGATGCGTCACTCCTGATGATTCAGGGTGTTGATGCGTCACTCCTAATGATCCCGGGTGTTGATGCGTCACTCCTGATGATCCAGGGTACTGATGCGTCACTCCTAATGATCCCGGGTGCTGATGCATCACTCCTGATGATCCGGGGTACTGATGCGTCACTCCTAATGATCCCTGTTGTTGATGCATCCCTGCTGATGATGCGGGATGTTGATGCGTCACTCCTGATGATCCAGGGTACCGATGCGTCACTCCTAATGATCCAGGGTACTGATGCGTCACTCCTGGTGACTCGGGATGCTGATGCATCACTTCATTTGGTCCAAGCTGTTCCCCCATCATTTCAGATGGTACACTTTGATGTATCACTCCTGATGGCTGGACACGCCCATCTCTATGAATGACTGTGACGCCTAATGCACCAGAATCTATGACATTCAAACCATATTCTCCTATTTCAATAACTGGTGTGCCAGGTAGTGACAACAGTGAAGACACATTTGTATCTGTTGTGTCCAGTGCTCTTCCATCTTGAGTTGATGTACATGGCTTCTTCACATCCACATCCTCATCCTCATCCTCATCATCTGGGTCTTCGGTTGAGCCCACGCGGAATTTTCTTTTTTGTGCTTGAGACATTTTCAGTACCTGAAAAAAGCATCACATACGATGACAATAGCTCAACACTAGTCTACTTCATGTTTACTGCACGATATGATCTTGGTGTGCATGATCTCACGCTGGAATACATTAACTTGCTTCTGTGTCATCTGATGACCTGAGCGAACATCGTTTGCGGCGGAAACTTGTTTCCACGAAACTTTTTTCACATGTGGTTTATTTCGTGTTTAGCAAGGTTTATCTCCCGTTAGTCAGTCAGTTCGTAGACCGTGAGGTATTCGATGCATTAGGACCCACAGTTGGTGGATGTGGTGGGCGAGCTGGCTTAGGCTGTGTAATGCGCCAGGCTAGTGATCCAGCGGGCATGAGGTGTCGGGATCGAGCTCACCTGTGACTGGTTGTAAAAACTTTGTGTGCAGACTCTTTCAGTGTTGTTACAACCCCTAGTGTACAGTACACAACCCTGTGCACTTAAAAGAACCCACGAATCCATTGGTATATGACCAGATGGTGGCCACATGAATATGTGCTAACACTTAGTTGCGGGTACAGCAACGTGCAGTAAACCTGGACATTTTGCACTGTGACTACAGTCCGTTTGAGTCAGAAACGGACAGATGAATTGCAAATTTTATTTTTGTACAAAATTGCCACATAAATATAAATAGTTCACATGTTTATCATTTACTAATACCCAACAGCTTTCTTATATTTGAAAATTTTCAGGACTCCACCAAAAAAAGTTATTTAAGAAACTATCATTAAAATTTTGACACAGTTCACTATTTGTTACGAGGGAGGAGTGCAGAGAAAGGGACAGCCAGGTGTTAGAGAAGCACGTGCACAAGTGCCCACCAAGTTATTGATTCATCAGCCTGTGCTGTGCCGTCTCCATCCTTTCTGGCACACCTGGCTGTCCCTTTCTCTGCACTCCTCCCTCGTAACAAATAGTGAACTGTGCAAGGACCTAGCCCGAAATTTGAATGTAGAAACTAAGCAATAGATTAAAAATAGATGAGAATAAGATATTGTCGGCATGACACGGGTTTCATCGCAAAGCTGCTAATTTGATGATTTTGTATCAGGCCATAATTTTGCATCATTTAAAAGGGTATTACAACTTAACAAGTCTGACAGAGTGATATGTTTCCAAAACATATTTACCCCATGACCAGTGACTGTAGAGATATACTGGCCCGACTGGATGTTTACTATCCACGGGCCAGCGGGCCGGTGGCTATTGAAACGTGGCAAGGTAACTAATGGTGGATCGGTCAGGTTACAGGGGGGGGAGGAGTTATTGAGCATCTTGTGGAAGGTCAGGCCTACACCTATCCTGGAATGCAAGTTCGAGACAAGCTCCCAGATTCAAGACAAACTTCGGGCCGAGTATAAATCTCACTTAAAGAAAATCTGGAGCTCAGAGCTAAATCCGCGAAACAAGGTCAAAGCTACCAATACTTTTTGCCGTACCAGTCCTTTCCTATTCCTTTGGAGTAGTTGGTTGGATAAAACAAGACATCCAGAGTCTTGACCGCCTGACCAGAAGGGTCATGTCTGATAACAGAGCTCACCACCCTCGTTCCTCTCTTAACCGTTTGTACATGTCAATCAATTCTGGAGGTCGGGGTTTGATTAATGTGGAGGCTCTTCGTGATAGAATTTTATTGTGCACCTGTGCACATTTATTTATCGGAAGATCCTCTGGTGATGCATGTGAAGAAATGGAATTACACAGCAAGGAATTACACAGCTATTTTATGCGTGCCATGGCTGTTGGACAAAATCTGAAATTTGAGGTTGATTTTGTTGATGGCGATGTACTGCTGGACGGTACAGCGATGGGAGTAAACCAGGTGAAGTCCTTCACCAAGTCTGCCCAGAGTCGGTCATTTGTGGAGAAGATTTCTGAGAAACCATTGCATCGTGTATATGTTAGCGTCAATAAGGAAACTCCGTCAGTAGCGTGACTGCCTAGTCAATAAGGTACAGCCAAGTCAATAAGGTACTGCCTAGTCAATAAGGTACTGCCTAGTCAATAAGAGAACTGATGTCCAAGGTTAGTCAGAAAGCTTATTGACAGAGTCAATAAGGATACTGCCTGAAATTTATAGTAGGCAGTAGCCTTACTCCCTAATACATAAAACAATAAGAATACACATTAAAAAGTTGAAATTTATTGTCTCATCTCACATACACAGAAGAGTAAATTGATTGATTACATATTCATATTACATAAAAACTTGAAGACATGATAAATGTGCATTATATATTAGAGCATGAACTGGAATTATGACAACGACTTGTGCAATTTCTCCCACTTTGTTTGCCATCTCAAGGTTATACACTTTGCACATCATTTCTGCATGCCCTGACCACCAAACAATGACTCTCTCCTCTTCTTCGTTAGACTGTTCCCGTACTTTGCACTTGATGTATCAGCATCCACACCAGCATGCATTTCTATCTGCAGCATGCCCCATCTGACCACCAATCCACAATAACTCTGTATCAGCATCACAGCTCTGTACTCTGTATCAGTGTAATCTGTAGCATCCAATCTCTGTATCCATCTACACCAGTATCTGTATCAGCATCCACACCAGCATCGCCATCTGTACCCGTATCTGTATCAGCATCCACACCAGCATCGCCATCTGTACCCGCATCTGTATCAGCATCCACACCAGCATCGCCATCTGTATCAGCATCCACACCAGCATCGCCATCTGTACCCGTATCTGTATCAGCATCCACACCAGCATCGCCATCTGCCCGTATCTGTATCAGCATCCACACCAGCATCGCCATCTGTATCAGCATCCACACCAGCATCGCCATCTGTACCCGTATCTGTATCAGCATCCACACCAGCATCACCATCTGTGTCTGCGTCAACAACATCTGACACTGAACTGGATTAACTGCCTGTACCTTAAGCCATCTGCAAGTCTTCTTCTGTCTCAAGTAACGTCAGAACTTCTGGTGGTATGGAAGCTTCTCATGAAGGACCAACTGTTGCAGACTTCATATGGTGATCGACAAATTCCTCTGTTCAGTGAAGAATTCTTTTGAAACTGTACAAAGTGTAGCCCTGCAGTTTATAAGTTTACAATCTTGATTACCCAAGCTGGTTTGCACACTCAGCTCACAGCTGGCAATCACCAGCCGACTCATCATGAGGGAGCAGTGATTCACCTATCAATTAACAACTTGTGCCCTGTGCATTGTCACAATGAATGTCGGTACTAAGTTTTAACATGTTTTTCCCATTGAATTTCACTCTTATACTATTTATCAATGGAGAAATAAAGAAATCTGTATTTAAATCTAAATACTATTGAAATGTTGTAGTCAGTAACACTACTGACTAAGGCAATAAGCAGGAAAAGGAAAATATAATTCGGTCAGTAAATTGACTGACTAGTCGTTTTAGTCAGTAACGCTACTCACTAGGCAGTATCTTATTGACTAGGCAGTAACGCTACTGACGGGGTTTCCTTATTGACGCTAACATATATATGCAGCGTGTGGAACAGATCAGTTATCCAACCGATTCCTTCGCCTGGAAGAAGTCGGCTGGTCTCAAATGTGAAACTGGGGGCTTCCTTTTTGCTGCTCACGACCAGTCTCTTCCCACTCGCAACCGCCAAAAATGTGATTCTTAAAGAAAACATCAATATGAAATGTCGACTATGTAATGAATTTACAGAGACTGTACAACACCTTTCAATGGACGCCCTTGTTTGGCACAAACAGCATATCTTAAACGACATGATGACATGGCTCGTTGCTTTTACTACCGTCTCTGCTATGCTTGTGGCTTTGACTCCATCCATGTACGACCCTGAACATATCCAGGGCGTCATGGAAAATGATGCTTTCAAACTTCTGTGGAATAGGCCCATATACAGCTTGAGAAGAATTCCAGCCAACAAACCTGATCTTGTCCTTTTAAATGAAGCAAATGAATTCATTTATATAATTAAATTTTCTGTCCTTTTTGTCAGCAACGTGATTGGCAAGATTCAGGAAAAGCATGATATATATGCGGACCTCGCCTTTGAAACGTCTCGCTTGCATCCCAAGTACACTGTCGTCAGACTCCCCATTGTTCTCGGTGCCCTTGGTTTGGTACCTCCTGATCTCTTGGCGCAGATCAGGAGAGTGCCTGGGTTCTCCACCGGTAGCAACAACCCTTCTGGGTACTGCAGAAGGCTGCAGTGTTGGGGAGTCTACATATTCTCCTGGAAAGTTTGGTTGGTTCGACTAGGCAGCGTTTCCTGGGAGACGTCCCATTCGCTGTCTGGGCTGCGTGTAGAGGGACAAGGGCCCTAAGCTGATGATGAGCCTTACCAGCCTGACTGTGCCAGGATCACCTGAACCCTCTCTGCTGCATATTATCTTTAATCTGTAAAACATGATAATAATGCGGTCACTTATATAGCGCTGATCTCCACGCCAAGGGCACATGCTCTAAGCATTATTATCCGGAATAACCCAAGCTGCCTGTGAGGCGCTGGAAGGTTAATAGTCACTTATGCCATCGGGTACCCATTTTCTGCTGGATGAAGAGAGGCATTTGTGAACAAACTCACTTGCTTGAGGTGAGACCACATGTGTGCTTCGTTGTGGGGCAGGACTGAAGTCACAGAAACTCTGCCAAGCTGCCAAACACAGGCACCCATCCAAGTAATCTCCGCGCCAACGCTACTTAAGTTCACTTCATTTGTGACCTGAGTTCTATGCGCAGGACCACACACCACAACAAAGTAATGTCACTAGTGAGTGAGTGAGTTTAGTTTTACGCCGCACTCAGAAATATTCCAGCTATATGGCGGCGGTCTGTAAATAATCGAGGCTTGACCAGGCAATCCAGTGATCAACAGCATGAACCTCGATCTACGCAATTGGGATACGATGACATGTGTCAACAAAGTCAGCAAGCCTGACCACCCGATCCCGTTAGTCGCCTCTTACGACAAGCATGGGTTACCGAAGATCAATTCTATCCCAGATCTTCACGGTTAAATGTCACCAGACATGGCTGTGAGTAAGGTCACGGTGACCTGGCGTGTCGGTGTGCGCTCCAGCTAGTACTGGTAGCCGGACTATTGACATCAAATTGAATAAAGATATGTGGCCATTCATATAGGACGACCCAATATCAATTGGGTGTCGCTGTGTATGAGTTACGTGCTAGACCGTAGACTTGCACAAGTCTCAAGTACCATATCTCTTGCACTTGCTCAAGTCTCCTACGTGAGTCTCAAAACTTTCAAAGACAATGTAGCCCAACCATGCTTTTTTAAACGTAGAATATTTGTTATTTCAAATTATGGCTAAATTTCCCTTCCATCGCCAGTGGCTGGGGGGATGGTATAAAACCATTTAGGGTCCATGCAGGAAGCAAATGGACTGTAAGTCCCCATGGTCCCTAGTATGATGATCTACCTTCAGTTGTTGGCGATCTATAGCCCGATGTTATATTGTGTTGTTTTGAAATGATTTAACATTTTCTAGTCGTTATACTGTCCTTCGCTGACAGGTTTGTAAATAAGTATACATATGTTTATTCTTAGTACATAACTTTTTTGTCGTCACAATATGGCTGAAATATTGTCGATGTGACGTTAAATGTTAACTCACTCCGTACTGTCCCCTATCTAGACTTGCCTCTTTAAAGCACAGAATTACTATACACCCAGGGGCTTAGCATTTAGCACAGCTTCACCTTTAGTACAGCCTTGAAGCAAGCCTAGCCAGGCCTGTGAGACCGTAGCGCTGTGTCGAGGGCCGCGTCCCTTTGTTATATAGTCTCTAATGTTACCAATACTCACTGTTTACATGTGCTGTGACAACCCATTCCAATTCTTTGTCCGATTAAGACTATTTTTAAACAAGTGTCTGTCTGTCTAACGCACTCGGACTTAGTGCTAAAGTTTGTTCAACAGGTCGAATTCCTGCTACGGGACCATTCAGAATTAATTAATGGCTGGGGAAGAGGGAAAGAAAGAGAGAAGAGGGTGCGGGAGTGGGGGTGCGAAGGGGTAGGTGTGTGTGTGTGTGTGTGTGTGTGTGGTGCGCGTGCGTGCGTGAGTGCTTGCTTGTTTTTTTATTATGTTAATGGGTGGGGACACCCATTCTGTTCTCGGGAGGTGGGGGTCATCAATTTTGTACACATGTACTTTGTACAGAAATTGTAGGAGGGCTTAATCACATTGAACATGCTTCTCCATAACAATCATCACCACCCCCATCAGCCATAAACCACGTACGGTCACTAATAGTCCCTTTGTGGTTATCAAAGACATATACACAGTATTGTTCTCGCATCTGTGGTAATTTGTCCAATCCAATAAATATCGAATTACAAATCCAGGTTGCTGTTGTATTGCTGTTGTACACCTGTGTATTTGTACATGGAAGTGTTGTAAGTTAAGTATGCTAACCTGTGACTATATCATGAAGTATTGACACAACGAGACGGGGCATCTGGTGTGGATATATACCGATGAGAACAAATAAGAAAACGCATGAAAGTATAGCTGATCCTATATTCATTTCCAGGCCTCTTTGCAAGCTTTGCATTGCAGTGTGGATGAAAATCGTGGAATGAATATAGGAAAGCGTCTACACATGCAGCAGTGTGACTGAGCTTTCAAAGAACATTAATGTGTTAGACGCTGAACACTGGATCAACAAATCTTGGCAGAATACTACAAGTTTGACAATATTGAAGTGTTTTTTAGTGCCTGTGGGTTGTCAACTCCATTAAAATCTGTGTACCTCGGACTTCTGTCTAACTGGGACTTTTTAGTCGGTCCCAAGCCGGTCTGAATTAGACAGAGTGCACTGAACTTTCATTTGTTCCCTTATTTGTTTCCATCAGTATATTTCACCAGCACATGCATGAGTTTTAACATTGGGTAAAATCTAAAACCATTACTGTTCCAAACTAGACCTTACCTTGTGACTCAGCTCGTCTGGAGATTGCGCAACAGGTTCAAAATCTCGCCAGGTCCCGTCTCTGTTCACGCAATATAGATCAATCAACAATACTTGTCCCACGTGGCACAATACCAAAGTAACGTGAACTCTCATTGGTCCTAACTGTCGATGGTTACCGAGCTGTTGAACAATGTCAGTGTTGATTCGTTATTGAATCTGACTATAACAACGACTGCACTCCAAGCGACTTTTGTATTCAAGGGTGGTTAGGGCTGTATACAAGCAATAACCGACCAACACATCAATCCATTGCTGAGCAAACCACAAGGGCTTGTAACTCTAAAAAGTGCCAGGCTAGAATGCGCTTTACCGGGCGCAGCCCTCGCTGCTCCCTCTACGATCCTTAGGGTTAGGGTTTAGGGTTAGGCACCCTTTACTATCCTTAGGGTTAGGTACCCTGTACTATCCATAGGGTTATGGGTTAGAGTTAGGCACCC